GTCATCCATGCAGCAATCTAGACTCCTTAAAACCAAGCTTGGGATTTCCAGGGTTTCTCAACAAGCAAGTTTCAAGTCCGGCACTCATCGCTCGGTTTCTTGTGGTCAGCATCGATGTGCAACCTACAGCCAGGCTGAAAGACACCACACGTGCCACTTCTCTTGCTGGGCTCCCCGCCAAAGCAGGATATTTTCGTATTGGATGCTTACCTGTCCTGGAGCAAAGAAGGACTCATGAGAGCAGCACTTCTCGACTCAACTTAAGAAGGACTCCCGAGATGAAAGTCACATCAAGCTTTGCATAAGACAAGGACTTTCAGTACAAAAGAATAGCGTCCTTGTCTGCTTTGCAGACCTTCTAGATCAGCTATGCACATGGCCAGGTGTTCACTGAAGTGAACCAGTATAGCCTCCAAAGGTTGCTGAACACTCTGCAAGCTTTGCGTAGTCTTCTGAAACAAAAAAAGAAATTCTATCTCGTAGTCGTATTCTCGCTTTACAACGAAGTACCGTGCCTGCGATGAGTCGCTCTCAAAGTCTGGATCGTCTTCGAGCCTCGTTTGTCATTTTGGACAGGAACGGACGGCACGTTTTGAGCCAACAAATTGATGGTAAATAGAGGTACAGTACTTCTTCATAGGTCTTCATGGCTGGTAAATGACCCGGGACAGTTTTGAGCAAAAAGTCCAGTCCAACATCTCGGCACCCTTTCTTTACACAGGGCCTACTCCTCTTGAGCTCTTGCCAGTCAGAAGGAGCATAAAGAGCATTGCAGCACAATGCATGCAAATGCGATGGATGCTCTCTTAGGTCTTTCATGTTTCTACTGGTTTAAAACCTGAGTTGATCTTCGAATTTGCATCGGAGTCCAACACCATGATCCACCCATCGTGAGCAACATGCCATAGGTCGTCTCACGCAGCTAGATAATGCAAGAAAATCGACTCAATTGCCCGTGAAGTGCAAGAAAGTTCAAGACAAAACTGGCAAACCGGCTACAGGGCCAATTGACTCTTGCCAAGATGCACGAGGCGAATAGTCTTCAACATATTCATTGCTTGTGCCAATAAGGCATTGCACTCCTCTAGAGGATAGAAAAATATGCTGGGGTGCACGCAGGAAGAAGAAAGACAAACATTTGGTTTAATACAGCAAAATAGCTTCTCAATGCCTGAATGTCATTGAATGCTTCAAGGATTGTTTTTGAAGCGCAGTCGCGATTCTGCAAAGCCGCAAAACCATATTCATAGACCTCTCCTGCCCTGCATCCTCGATCCGCCTTCTGGCTGCTTGACCTCAACAGTGGCGTCAATGTAACCAACATGCTTTCATCTACCTCGTCAGTCTCTTGTTTTGTACCTCGGCCTGATATATGAGAAATATAGTATGGAGAACATGCTTATACAAAGGGTTTGAAAGGTATAGCTACTATACAATAGGCCTGTGCACATGTGTCTCAGAGCGCAATTGGTCGATTCAGGGATGTCTGTTTGGTCGCACCGGAAGGGCGACGTGACAAATGATGAGACAGGTTACAAAAAGCCACATAGTTCTTGCATGTTGCTCTTTACATCGCACCTATCCCAGGTCTTGTTCTCAAGGAGATCTTGCAAAGAGATCTACATCGAGTGATGCGGGCGGCTCGATCCATGAGACCCGGATCCACTTGAGCATTGAGAAGTTCCACATCTAGTGGATGTGATTCAGCGGAACCCTGCAACATCCCGCAGTGTTGTAGTGTTGTTCTCCCCCTGTCAGTCCAAAGTTAGGCCTGAAAAGAACGCCAATTAGAACTTCCGTCACCGAGATTAGCTCAGCTTCCCGATCCTTGAAGTTGAGAAATTGCCCTCAAGGTCTTTTTTAGCCCACACTTACTTAATTAAGTAGGCGCCATATTTCAGTAAGGGAAAACTTGCACGCTCCTAGCTACTTAAGTTCCTACATATGGACGCAGGATACGATAGGATACGTTTCTTCAAGGAAGCTCACCCCGCCTGAGGGCAGGGTAGATTCCTTGAAGAAACGCTCGCACTAATGATTTGGTTCCTAGATGTTTGGAAAACTTAGTTTATTTACTTTTCGTCTCCGTTTTGAGTCAAAGGGTTTGAGCTCTATGCTTAAGTAAGAGGTGGACAAAAGGTTGGTTGCTTAAGAGTAGGATAATATGAGAGAAGGGAATTTGAAGAAAAGAAAAATTTTGCAGGAAAGGTCAACAAGATTGTAAAGATGCTTATGAGAATGGTAGCCAGGGCTTGCAGCCAATGGTTACAGAAGCCTTCTTGAAAGAAGGAGACAATATCCAGTGTGGATTGGAAGACATGAGACTGGAAGAGATAAAGGAATCCAATGACAACTGGAGATTTTGGATCGTAGTGATCATTGCAATCAACATCATTGTCTTTGCAGTATTGATCTTTGTGACAGGATGTTCAAACACCTTGAGTTAAAACTCCAGAGAAGTAGCGATGAGCTATGGGGTCATAAGACACTGCTATGATAATTGGCAGCATATTGATTGGAGAGCAGATGGTATAGAATACCGGACCATGGAGTTAGAAAGTAGAATTGAAGATCTTGAAAGAGATGCCAGTGAAGTTGAGAACTATGGAGACAAAATGGAAAGATTGCGTAACCATGCCAGGAGAACTCATTGTGGATTGATTCTAATGGGAGGCTTTACTGCACCCTATACACCAAATACTACAACAATCAACGCCTATGATGTGCTACAAGAGTTGAATGCAGGAAACTTCTTAGCAAGAAGGAGCTTGGAAAATATGAAAGCATCAACAGAACAGTTTTGGGGACATAAAGTGATGTTAAAGGCAGCTACAGATGGAGCAACACCATCAGAAGGACCATTGAACAAAATGTTCAAAACAGGGAACAGAGAGATATCGATGAGAGACCAATACATCGCAGAGCAGGCAAGTCAATTGTGTGGTCGATTTGAGGCAAAACTTGGGCAACTCCATGGGAAATACTGGAACCTCCTGAGTAGTGGACAAAACGATGCAGCAGATATGGTAGAGAAAGAGATGGAAAAGTATATGGAATTGCTAGAGTGTGCAGTTATGAGGAGAAACTTTCCAGACAGACAACCAACAGAGATATCAACCTCTAGGAACACAGTTCACAGCAAGAAACACAAGAATGAAATGGAAGAAAATGGACTATGGTGGCAAAGTGAGCTCAAAAAAGCATTTTAGAGTCTCACAGTGCCAGCGCGAACCATTTTGCACTGTGACCATTGTACAGAGACATGACATCATGAGCATCATGGATGTCTACTGAAGCCCTTTTGAGTATCAGACAAAAGGATGTATCAAACCCAAAATACAATCAGCATAGCATTTAGCAAGAGACGGATCCAGAATGCTTCTTCGCCATCTGCAAAAATGCCTCAAGACTGAAACTATATACATCAAGGACTTAGCGCCTGTACCACACTCATTCCGTCTGGCACTCAGTGCAGCACTTGCCATTTCTCCAGGGTACCTCAAGTTGACAGTAAGCACATCACCGCATTCTTTCTTCGCGCTTGTCAGCTCAAGTCGGCCTCTTCTCCATCTGCATTGTAATGAAGTGCACCAAAGTCTGGTCGGCAGCCTGGTGAAGGTGATGTAAAGCCACTAGGTCCCTGTCTAAACAGAAACAACAATTGCTGGGTGAGGGATCAAAAGAACGTAATGAGCATCAGTCAAAAAAATTGACGGCGACGGTGGTCAAAAGAAAAAAGAAAGTATTCCCAGTGAGCAATGAAAGGAAAAAGAGAATAGGGCAGGGAAAGGACAACAGCAGCAGTGCGGCAAGAGACCCCAAACAGTGTGTGTGAGGTCTATAAGCAGAAAGGCCTGCCACGAGATCTGCACCCTCGAGGTTCACCAAGTGCTGCACCTGCCACGAAGTCTGCAAGCGAGCCACACATGTCCGCTTCACTGCACCTGTCACCGAAATCTGAGCTCCTCGACGATCATCACCATGTCCAAAGTGCTGCACCTGCCACGAAAACTGCACTTCAAAGTAAAACAGCTCCGACCCCTTGCACCTGTCACGAAAAGTCGACTTTGGAGCACCAAAACACGAGGTTTCCCTTGTGCCTGCCACGAAAAGTGACCACCACGAACGAAAATGTGGCACCACAACGAGAGCGCAGTCGTTAGAAGCACCCGCCCGGGGCACCCCGACTTTGCGAGCCTGCGCAGTCGAAATGCACTTCGACGATTTCGAGAGGCATGAATGTACTGTAAATAGCAGCGAATTAGCCGCACACGCCCGCGCGCTTCAGCGATCTAAGCATCAGCTGCTTTTCACTTACCGTAAGAACCCCTAGTGTGTCCACACTGTTTGGGGAAAAAGAGAGAACAAAAGGATAGAATGATAGAACTGTTGGACAAGACAAAGGTCGTCCCTATCATCCACAAGAAAACAATGAAACAATATTTGCAACACATAATCAAAAAGACTTAGGCGAGGGCATGCAATAGTTTGTGTGGAGATGCGATGGGTGACTTTTAAGCAATCTGTCGTGTCAGGCACAACGCATTGATTTTTTGTATTATGTGCTCTTTTTGATCTAGATGCGACGATTGCCGGGCTTCAGTCTGATGCTACAGACTCTTGCAGCATTGGCCTGTGTCGCTTTCACCGTCCGAAGCTGCAACAATGCATCCATGGAAAAGCCATCGGCACGACCGCGCCTTGGGAACTAGATGAGTCAAGAAACATGTTACTCCACCTAATAGCGTCCTAGTATGTTGCCATAAATCATAGTAGATTCTTGTTACTAATTACTAGTAATGGCCTCCAACCTAGTAGAGATGGCCTCCAACCTACTAGCTTATTGTTGCTAGTAGCTTCTTGTTTCTACTTATATACTTAAGTTTGGATGTCGTATTTTGTGAAAAAGAAGAAATGTGTCGCCAGGAACCAACCAACCCGAAGAAGGTCTGGACAAGCTTCTGACACGATGGTACGAGAGGGACTTTGCTTGCGAGAATCTAAGCTCCCCACGGTGTTCCTCCATTGAGGAAGTTTCCAGCGTGCAAGGCTACACCAAGCAAATGCCTGTGGATGAGTCCATTCTTTCCTCGTTTTGCTCTGCCAGTGTGCGTTTTCGTGACATCTGTCCTCATGCGCATCGATGTAAGCAAGCAGTCACACCCTCGAGATACTCCCTTCACATCGTTTGCAATGTGATCGAACTTCTCCTGGGAAAGCATAATGAAGGAATTGGCTTCAGACGTCTTCGCACTCCCAAGTGGCCTGGAAGGAATTCCCGAAGTCCCATACCTTCAAGCGAAGCTGGAAGCGTGGGATGGCGATCAAGGAGAGCATGAAGTCCTGACATCTCAGCTGTCATTCCTTCGAAACCGCTGACTATACTGCACTTGCAGGTGCCTCAGCAGTGTCCCAGGCAGTATTCTCATCGATGACATTCTCCTGGACAGATTGAGAAAGAAAAAGAAACAATTGGGAAAGTAGCAAGTACATTGGCATGCCTCTTGAGCACGTCGCAGCAGCTGCACTTCTTCCAGAGATGGGCAGTTGCCGAGAAGCAGTTCAACCTTTCAGTAGGAACTCCGAAAACTCTTACACCAAACGATGCACAACAGCACTCACCAAATTACACATGGTCACATGGTAGAAGCTGGCGGGCATGTCACCTCGTCTTTCCCCAACCTGCGGATGCACACAAAACAGGAAGCCATATCGATGAGAATTCAATTTGCCTTCCGGAATTCATCTCGCTGATCCATGTCAATACGTCAAATGCGCTGCCTGGCCTCAACCCAACTTGATGCAAGCCCAATACATGGCATGAAAAAGGGAGAGGAGGAACAAGAGCGAGAGAGAGAGAGAGAGATGGCAACCACACGCTCCAGTGACGACAGTGTGCTGAGAATTTGGAGCAATTGGTCCTGATGTTCAACAACTTCAGAAACTAAGACGCGAACAAACGCGCCAACATAATGCAGATTTGCCTCGGTCTTCCATCACAGCAACTCAGTTTTCACATTGCAGCAAAGGTGTGCAGCCTTCGTCGCTGTTCATCCAGAACTCGAATCAATCGTTTGCCAACTTCACCTACAACAGCGACTCAAAACCCTTCCAAACGCAGATTGATATCTTTGATACACTCTGCTAAGTCACAAAAGACAACATATCGAGTGTAAAGCTATACCAGCATAGACCCCAAACAGCTTAGTCGGCAAGAACTGTTGTTGTTGTTGCTGTTGTTGTGGTGAGCGCAAGCCTGGCACAAAGACCGCAGGAGGGCACCAGGAGGACAAGAGCAGGACACAGCGTGGCAAGGGACAGCAGGATGACACCAAGGGGACAAGAGGAGGACACAGGGTTCGCGAGCGTGGACGACAAGAGGACAAGGTCTGGAGACCGGCTGGCAGCCGCGGCCAAGAGGAAGACAAAAGCAGGATAACAAGAAGACAAGAAGAGGACAAAAGGAGGACGGCGGGGCGACAAGGAGAGAAAGAGAAAATAAAGAAGACAACAGGAGTACAAGGTCTGGAGGCCAGGCTGGTGCCGCGGCCAAGCTGCACACCGGAAGAAGGACAAGCAAAGGACAACAGGAGGACAAACGCCCAGGCACGGCGATTACTGGCTCGGCCAGAGACTGTGGCCAGCTTCTTTTTTCCTAAGAAAGAACCTCAATAGTAAACTGCTTGAATAAAAAGAAGGTAAGGGCCGCCTGACCTACCTACAGAAGAAGTTGTGGAAGCCGCACCTGTTGAGGTTGTTAAGGATCCCCATTCTTTGTGCCTAGGTGCCCTTGGGGCATTGACAAGGATTTGTACCAATGGAAAACTTTTTTGGGCCCCCAACTTGCCCTTGAGAACAAACAAAGCCCAGGGCAGCTTTCACCTGCTTATTGAGATTTGCAATATGGTTGCAGCTCCTGCAGCGTATGCCAAAGTGCTGTGGGATGGCTTTGCTTACTGTAAGCTCACAAATGTCTTTGCTGCCCCACTCCTTCCTCTTGACATATCCCTTTCGATCACATCGGTTGAGGCGCTGAAGCCCGCAAGAAGGCCCCCTTTTAAGAGAAAGGCCACGGGCCCACGGGCCCTCCCACACGGGCCCAGCTGGCCAGTCCATGGGCCTCCTTTTAAGGCTGTGAGAGAGGCCCTTACCTACCTTTTTCCTACCTTTTCAGCCTTCCAGTGCTGTACACTCACCACGCACCTCGCTCAGGCTCGCTCTTGCCACGAGGACTCTTGCTCGCTTCGGAAAAGAGCCATTCCAGCTCCTATCACAATAGTCCATAGTAGTCTGTATATCTCTAGACACTATACACTGCACATGCAACAACACAATGCTACCTCACTAGGCAGTCCTCCAGATCAATAGGATAGCCTTCGCCATCAATGGCATCCCACCTGCAAGTGAGCAAATAAAAAGCAGGTATGCATTGTAGCACAAACGACAACGGAAGCACTTCAGCCTCTGAGGACCCTACACTGTGTAGCTCGCGTGGTTTGCACGCAGGTGAATGGGATTCCAAAAGAGTCTTTTCACCTGAACTCCAGGAATTACCTCAGAGCACAAACATCCATTTGCTGTCGCAAATTAGGTGCAAATGAAAAACAATGATTGCAAATCTTCAAAGCGCCTCTGGCTTGCGCATCAAAATCTTGACCTCCTCTGCCTGTTCTGGCGCGATAGACCAATGCATCACCGCAATCTTCACGAAGCTCTTCGACGGCGTGGATTTTTGTGTGTTATTGTCTTTTCTGTTTTTTAGTAGGCGCCTACTTAATTAAGTAAGGCAGAGGTCGCTACTAGCTGCAAGTAAGCTACTACCTAGGACACAGGGTAGCTCGCGCTTCTTCAAGGAAGCTCCCGACGCCGGCGCAGATGGGTCCTTCTCTCGAGTTTTTTGGCGGAAGGAGAGGTTCTCCCGAAGTTCGAGTCTACTCTCTACTCTCATCAGCACGATGGCCTAAATAAATTTTAGGGTCCTGCACATTCCACAGCTTCCATACTCGTTTCATGCTATTCTTGCACCTGCTATTTCTGGTCGACCTGTGCTCAGCAGAGCCTACCTCTGCTTGGCTTTTCGCTTTCCCTTTCTTTCCCTCTCCTTTCTCTCCTTTCCTTGGACACTCGGCTTCAAACAGCTCGCACGCTCTCTCTCTCTCTCTCTCTTGCTCTCCCTCTCTCTCCATAGTAGTACTGGCCTCCAAACCATTGGAGCAGGCGGGGCTTTCTTTCCCTTGCCTGAAGGAAGGTCTGCAATACGAAAAATCCTTTGCAATTTGCAACTAAGGGCAGCACCTTTAACAGGCAGTGCTGTTGTCAGGGAGGTTTCCCCTGCAGAAATACAGAAGCCTAAGGCCTAAGGTGTGGAAACACGCATGAGCCACGCACCTTCGCCAGTTTTTTGTGGCATGCCTTTGCCTGCACAACACAAATCAGATCAAATCACCAAACGCATTGAAAAGCATGCAAAGCACTTGAGTCCCCTTATGGGCTTTGCCCACCTTGAGCTTCACCAACACGTTCAACGGCTGCTTGTGTCTGATCTTCAGATGTGGAGCCAGTCTCTGCAGCTGGCTTTTCTCCTTTGGGTTCTGAAGAATTTATAGTTGCTTCCGCAGGAAGCCCTTGCTGCTTCTCATCAGGTGTTGCTCCTTTGTTTGAAGTCTTTCCTCTTGTGGAGGCAGAGCTTCCTGATGTCCCCTGAACTTCTCTGGGACTTGCAAGTCTTGGGCTGCCAAGTCTAGGACTGAAGCTTCTAGGACTTCTGGAACCCCGACTTGGGCTTGGCTTCAGGCCAGTCCTTGCAGTGCCGGCACCTGATCGTAGAGCTTTAGAATTCAGAATCTTGGACTGGGCTTTGCCGTTTTGCTTCCCTTCGAGCTGGTCGCCTCCTGAGTTCAAAAAATGCTTTCCGACTTCAGCGACTTGAAGTATTGGGAAAGGTCAAACCCCCGATCTACCATTCAAAATACATGGACCATGGATATCTCATGTCTAAACACAACTTTTAGACCAAAGCCTTTTACAAAGTATCGCACTCGGGCAAACCAACTCCTGAAGCCACTCGAACATGTCTCCCAGCTGCATCGCAAGTGCATTCACAGCCTGTCGCAGCCCCTTCACATCGGCTGCAGGTTTTCACAAGCCTCATAGATACTTGAGACTGTCGCTGGCTATCCTTCAGGATCGTGGGACTCGAGACTTCCTCCATGTCCTTACCTCTTTTGCCACCTTCCCCTGAATATCCACCCTTTTCAACAGCAAAAGATCTGTACTGACTTCCACTGCCGACAACTCTGTGACTTCTTGCTCCCAAATCAAAGTGATCCTGTTCTTCATGCTTTTCTGGATCTTGCTGCGAAAGCAATGACT